CAAAGAAAGTAAATATGAACAGAAGTCAGAAGACACAGGAAAAACCTACTTCTGGTTGTTACCTTTCATAAACAACAAAAAACGGTGACCAAGATGGCGATCCGTATCATATACTGTCCCATAATTAAAACTTTAAATATTTAGCCTAGATAGTGATTGAGGGTTTACATCTGCACATGTGGAAAAAGAAAATATAAGAAAGTAAAGGGTAGATATAGTTTCATTAAGATGAAGAACTTTACAACATTTAGAGCTGTTCAGAGAATGAACTGAGAAAAAAGTAACATTCCCATCAACAAGAGGCTGATGACAACCCATTAGGAATTTATAGATTCAGGAATTCATGTTTTGGAAGAAATCTGATCTTTGTCATACAATAATAACTAGAATACTTTTAGGTTTATGTAAATTAACTCAAAGACACTTTTTAAAAATTCTAATTAAAATTCACAAAAGAAATTTTGTATTATTAGAAAAACAAAATAAAACCATCAAAATAAAAACTCTACAAACACAGAATACTTCTAAATCTTGGCCAATGGTTCACAGTAACTAAGCTATTAGTTATATGACAGCAAAATCTACCACTATGAATAAGTCGCCAGTGATTTACATATTGAAGTGAGAAACTTACATTACAATGAAAAATGTGTCGTAATAGTCCCCGCAAAAAATACAAGAGTAGTAAACAGTGATAAAATCTATATACGATGAATGTTAATACCACTATCCATTTACAGAGTGCATTAAAATTTCTCAAAATGGTTTCTCACCCATTTGCCATCTAATCTGAAAACAACCCTGAGGCAGACAAAGCAGTTGGTATTAGTCCCATTATACTGTTTTCCTGAGGCTCAAAGGAGTAAATGACTCCTCAGATCACTCAAGTTGGTCCAGAGTATGAATCTGGAGCATATGACTCCTGGTCAGCGTCCATTCATTCTTTGATAACTTTGTTTTCTCTTTAATGAAACAATACATTTTCACTGTACAAATGTTTGAATTCAGATAGATAAGTCACCTCCCTAATTAGACAAGGTATTAATAATATTAATGAGAAATTTTCTCTTATTTGAAATGAAAAAAAGTAAGTAAAAATAATTCATGTAAATCAGCTTAAGTAAAAGAGAATTTTCTTTTACTTCCCATAACACTATGCTGAAAAAAACAGAAGGCTAAGTTAAGTAGACTAAAAAATATGTCCATTAAATGTTTGCATGTTAACATAACATCAAAATGTAGACATAGTCCCTTTAAAGTAGGCTCAAGCAATATTAGATTTCTCATCTTTACATGCTTGAAAAAAACTAAACTTCAATTTTAATAAATACAAGGTAAAACCATTACCTTGGGTGTGCTTCCTTTAATGAATTTTTTAATTGAAGACAACAAGCCGGTTTCATTCTTCGGTGGTTTTTCTCCTCCTGAAGGCAGGTTATCATCAACCTCTGAATATTTCCTCTTTGCCCTGGCAGTACGTTGTGTTTGGATTGGATGTGATTGCTGAGAAGCTTTTCTTGTTCTCAGCCTCATCTTTTATGGGTGCCACATGTAAAACTAAAAGAGAAAAATAAAGAGAGTTATTTATTAAAATTAAATCCAGCACACCCATATTTTCCCAGCTTATATAAAAAAAAATCTCTTGGTTAAAAAAAAGTCCAGGTCTCTAAGGGACTGAAATAAAAGAAGTGAAGGGCACTGTGCTTTGAACTTTTTTGTATACGTTATCCCAAGCAACCTTCCCAACAACTTCTGAAATATGATATCCTATGATCGAACACCAAAGAGTATGCATGCTCTTTCCACAGCACTATGCTGTCTCCACCCATGCTGACATTATCATTCATTCACTCAACAGCTATTTATTGAGCACTTACCACATTCAAGGCACTGGGCATGTAGCAAATAGTAAACAAGAGAGGGAAAGTTTTATGTCCTCTGGAGCTCACAATGTAATAGGAAAAAAAAAACCCTCAGTGAATAAATGAATCAATTCTATGAGCACGATTCTAATAATCAACAGTCATACAAGTGTTAATGAGAAGCTGGATCGTTTTGAGGGATTTGATCTTACCATACATACTTTAAAAACTAAATTCACATCAGAAAGAAAATATAAGGCAATTTACTTGAACTCTCTCATTTTATGGATGAAAAAATCAGTGGCTGGTGAAACTGTCCCAAGACTTAGAGGTAATTTAAGACACGCCCTGAGTTAGAATCTGTGAAACAGAATACAAAACCACTAAAGAATTAAGACATATAAATTCCAATCCTACTTCAACCATAGCTAAGCTATAGCCACAATTGTTTTTTCTCACCTGTATAAACAATACATTAATCTTACCATCTTCAGGCTCAAAATGAAAAAGGAATTAGAAAAGGCTATAAAATGTGGAGAACAATTAAGCTACTCATAACAACGGGTACATTAAGAGAAAGTCTAACTCCATTTAAGCACTCTCAACTCCTAAAGGTGTAGAAATTCCTGGACCAATTAGGAAGCTAAAGAAGTTGTCTTTACTAATGTAACATAACTGAATTCACAGAAAAAAAGTTAGAAATCTCTCTTTTTACATATATACTTTATACTACTCTAGTGTAGAGTATCTACTTTAATGACAAAAAACCCTCAAAAGCCCCAAACTCAGGAGATTCACCAGAGTCATCCCAAAATATCCAAAGAATTATTTTTCCCTATCACCAAATGGTACTCAGTTTTAAGTTGCTATCCCCAAATAAAATAAATATTGCCTTTTCTCCCAAAGAGTCAATGTTAACTTCTAAAGAAATTTATCATTCAATGCATTTATCATTTACTTAACTATTTACAATACACTACTCCTTAGGAAATGCATGGAGAATGTTTTAAAAAAAAAAGTTATTTTTAAGCAATTTCTGTAATTTTTTTTCAAGTCTTTTCAAAAATATCTGAGGGTGAACCTACCTTAAATCCAGAATCATTAAATGATTCTAGAAATTAGAAAATTTTATGAAATAATATATCGATATACAATAGGTCTTAAAAGACTAAAGATGTATATAGGTAATCCAGTCTTAGGAGGTTCAGCTCATAAAAATTTAAATAGTTATTGGTCACCTGCTACCAGAATGGTAGTAAAAGGATAAAAACAATCTCTACCACGAGAATCAAAAAGTGCAGGAGGTAAGTATATGTACATATCATAGTATTTAAATAATATGCTAGATCACTCTGAAGAAAGTTCTGGGAAAGATTAGGAGAAAAGTCCTTTGAACTAAAAAAAATGACCAGTGATTATTCACTAGAAAGCAAGAGAAGAATATTTAAAGAAGGAAGCTGAAATGTCCATTCCAATAGTGAGTTGTAAAATGTGTACGTAATAGGTCTGAAAGGGATAGAGCCATCAAGCCCTCATAAACTTTCAAAACTGACCATTCACACAACAAATGAAGAAAATATTTTCAATCTCACATGGAATGTTTACCAAGATAACCCATAAGCTGTAAAATAAGCCTCAGTAAGTTTCAAAGACTAAAATCTTACAAAGTATGTTCTCTCACCACATTATAAGTCAAAAACAAAACAAAAAAATAAAAGTACCAAGTGCCTGGAAACTTAAAACTATATTTATAAATAAATCATAGTCACAAAGAAACCACAAAAATAAATACGAAATATTTTGAACTGAAAAATAACAAAACACCACATCAAAATTTCTGGGATGTAAAAAAGTAGCACTTAGAGAGAAATTACAAACATATATGTACCCAACAACAGAGTCTCAAAATACATGAGTTAAAACTGTCAAATTAAAGTGAAAATAGGTAATTCAATAATAATAGCTGGAAACTTAAATACCCCCACTTTCAATAACGAATAGAACGAGACAAAAATCAACAAAGAAATAGAAGACCTGAACAATTCTCTAGACTTAAAGAGAAATACATAGAACACTGTATCCAACAACAGCAGAGTACATATTCTCACTTTACACAGGACTCTCCTAGTCCTCTAGGAGAGACTACATGCTAGGACACAAAACAAGTCTCAATAAATTTAAAAGGATTGAAATCATACAAATATATGGTCTTCAACCACACTGGAATGAAATTAGAAATTACAAAAAAAGGAAATTTGAGAATTTAACAAACATGCAGAAATTAAACAACAAACTCTTAAATAACTATTGTATAAAGAAAAAAAATCACAATGGAAATTAGAAAATACTTCAAGATGAATGGAAAAAAATATATAACATACCAAAACTTATCAGATGCCCTGAAAGCAGTGCTTGGAGGGCAATTTCTAGCTGTAAATGCTTGTATTAAAATAAGACCTCGAATCAATAACAAAATCTTCTACTTTAAGAAACTAGAAAAAGAAAACTAAATCTAAAGCAGACAGAATTTAAAAAATTATAAAAGCAGACATAACCCACATAGATATTTAAAAAAAGGAAAAATCAGTGAAGCCAAAAAAGCTGGTTCTTTGAAAAGATCAATGAAATTCACAAACCTTTAGTAATACTCGCCAAGAAAAGAGAAGACTCAGCCTTCTAAAATCAGGAGTGAAAGAAGGGACATTAATATCAATACTACAGAAATTAAAAAAAAAAAAAGATTATAAGGCAATACTATGAACACATATACATGAACAAATTAAATAGCCTATATGGAAGTGGACAAATGTCTAGGAAGACAAGACTAAAATGTACTCGGAAAAAATCGAAAATCTGACAGGTTCACAAGTAAAGACTGAATTAGTAATAATAATAAAAAAAAAAATTCCACAATGAAAAGCCCAGGACCACATGGCTTCTCTGGTGAATTTTACCTAATCCTCAAACTCTTTAGAAAAATTGAGGAACACCTCCCAACTCAATCTGTGAGGCCAGCATTACCCTGATACCAAAGTCAAAGACACTAGCAGAAAACTACAGGTTAATATCCCTTAGGAACACAGATGCAAATATCCCCAACAATATACTAGCAAACTAAATCCAGCAACTTAATTTAAAAAAAGTACACACCAGGAATAAGTGGGATTTATCCCAGGAATGCAAGAATGATTTAATATATAGAGAGCAATCAATATAACGCATTTAAAAAAAGAAAAAGAAAAAAAATCCACAAGATCATTTGACCAAAATCAACACTCTTTTACAACAGTAAGACTCAACAAACCAGGAATAAAAAGGAACTTCTTCAATCTGAAAAAAAAAGCTATCTATGAAAAACCCACAGCTAACATCCTATTTCATAGTAAAAAACTAAATGCTTTCCTCCTAAGGTCAAAAATAAGGTAAGGTGTCTACTCTCACCATTTCTATTCAATATTTTACTGGAGATTTCAACCAGGCAATTAGGCATGAAAAAGAAATCCATGTGAGAAAGGAAAAAGTAAAACTATCTCTTTGTAGAAGCCATGGCCATGTATAAAGAATAACTATAAAACCAAAAACCAGGTAAACTAGACTTCATAAAAATAAGTTTTCTGTTCACCAAAAGACAAGAAAATCAAAAGGCAAGCAACAAATTGAGAGAAAATTCACAAACATATATCTTGTAAAGTACATGTATGCAGAATGTATAAAGAAATTCTAAAACACAAAGAGACAAAGCAGCCAATAGAAAAAATAGACGAAAGATCTGAGAGGACACTGTAAAAACTAGATGACTGGCCACAAGCATATGAAATGGTACTCAACATTATTCATCATCAGATATGCAAGTTCTGCTGGTGGGTTTTTGGTAAAAGTTGAGCAATTTCTAATAAACGACACCTAGCCCTTTGATCGAGTATGTTCATTTCCAAGTTTGTAATCCAAGAGAAATGTAAACATGTTCACAACAACATATTTTTACAAAATTGTTCCTGACAGCTTTATTTACAATAGCCCTGAACTGGTAACAGTGAAAATGCTCAGCAAAAGAAAGATGAACATTGTGGCGCTTTCATACAATGGAATAATAATCAGAATTAGAGAGCAACATTACTAATATCATTAACAGGAAAGAATCTCATAGACATGCTGAGCAATGGCACACACAAGAGTACATATCTGATGACCATTAAAAGAAATTCTAACAGGTAAAAATAATCTAAGGAGAAAAATATCAGAATCGAAGTTGTTTTGAGTAAAGGAAATGTCCTATATGGATGTGGATCTATTTGTCAAAACTTACAGCTAAGATCTATATTTTTCAATGTATGTAAATTTTACCTAAACACCTGTAAAAAGTTCTTATAACAATAACCACCAATCAGGTAGGAGGAAGTTGGGAGTGGGTGGAGGTATAGATCCAACAAGACAAAATGTTAATTACCGAAACCAAGTAATGGTTGTACAGGGAATTAATACCATTGTTTACTTTTTGTATATTTGATATTTTCCACTAAAAAAATAACAAGAAAAAACCCTGACTACCAGAACTACTGACAGGGTTCAACAATGAAAAGAAACTGCTGAATAAAGTCAAAACAGAGTAGGATAGGATCAAATGAGAAAAGAAAAGAGAATGTCTAGAAAAAATTGAAAAGAGAAACATAAACTAAGCCATCTCAGAGGGCAAGT